TTATAAAACGCATTATTGTGTGTGGTTTAACTAGTAAATGATAAAGGCATATTAGTCGACGTTTTTCTGTTCCTTTTATTCTATGAGAATAAAAGCGATATCTTGGCCACTTGATGATTTGGTTTGACTTATGTGTCGGGCCCGGTCAGGATGAAGTTGATGTGTTCAACTGAGTTCTATGTCGAACAAATCAGAGATCAAGAAATAAAATGCTAAACAATAAGTATTGTTAGCATGATATCTAGAACAGAGGATTATACGATCCCTTATCTGAAGGACAGAATATTGGTCAGAGTTGACAGCGGCTATTGAAAGCTACGATTGCTAATCGGATACGGAAGTCATATGTGAGATGTAGTTACTAGACTTATCCAAGTGGGAGACTGTTGGATTAGTGTCTAAGTCCGTAACTATATTTGGTATGTACTTGACCCGAGTGTGCATGGTCCTTTTGGGTTGCCTTCACCAAAGCAACTTGACAAGGTAATTTGATATGAGAGAGAAGATATTATGGTTTATTAATATATTATAAGAATAATATATTAAAGGAGAAATCATATTTATTTAATTAGTATTAGTCATAAATTAATTAGGAATTAATTTGGTGACTAAAAGAGATTAATTAAATAAAGGGGTATAAACTGTCAAATGTGTGATAGTTGAGTTTTGGGCTGGGAAACCTAATGGACTAAGGGGGAACGAAATTATGATGAGGGATCATCATATTTTCGTCCAAGGGCCTCATTCCAGAAGGTTCCTTGGGCTGCTTGGTGGCTAAGCTATCCATTAGGGTTTAGACTGAAACCCTAGCACCCTACAGTATAAATAGATGCCCTATGCTTCAATTTTAGGCCACTTGATTCCAAGCGAAACCCTAGGGCCGAAATTAGCATCTTTCCCCTCTCTCTCTTAATTGCCTTCTTGCTTCAAGGTGTTTGTGAGCCATTAGAGGCACTACAATTGTGGTGCTTGCTTTCAAGAGTTCAAGAGATCAAGGAAAGTAGTTGTTATTGCAATATAACAACAAAGGTATGTCTACTTCACTTCTATATGATTTTCGAAAATTATAGAAGCATGCTAGGGTTTATTTTGTGTTCATATAGTTGTATGTCTTATAGTGAAAACATAGATCCAATTAGGGTTGCATGCACACATAGGATTGTTTGTATAAAACCTATCATAACCATCAAAGAATATAGAGAGCCAGAAATACAATTGCCAATGATGATGCAGAAATACAATTACGAAAGCTGATACGTTTGTGAAAGAATCGCTTATGTGGCATCCAGGTAAAATACAAAAATAAATGGAGTCAGCAACTTTCGAAACCTTTATCTCTCTCTTGTGTAGAAAACTAATATTTAATCTATTCGCCAAGGAGCAAAATGGTAATTTGTTGCAGCTTTGGTCCATTACGCATAAAATGGAAAGATTCTACATTGTTAAGCGAGAGGTCCAAGCCTCGAAACCTGTTGCCTCCATTTATGATGGTATTTAACTTGACAATATTTTAATGTTGATTTGGCAATTGGATTGCCACATCATTATGTTAAGTTGTGGAGTCTGATTACAGACGCTAGACAAACCAAGCATAGGGTCCCGTTCCCGAAAGAGCGGTCGTGGATCAAGGGAGAGTCGACCTTGCGGGTGTCGGGGTAGTTCCCCAGGAAGAAAACTTTTTGTTGGTTAGTTCCTTTATCAAATTCAACATCAAAATACGTCATTGGCCAGTTTGATCAGAGCTTATGGCCTTGACCATATTGACATTTTAGATCTTTTGTTCTTATATATAGATCCCTAGAATTAGTGTAACCTAAGCTATGATAGCAGAAATGTAATTCGGCGGTAATAAATAAAATCTCTTTCATGTTCGTCCGTAGATATAACCGATCACTTTGATCACGTGAACCAAAACCACGTTAAATATTGTGGTCTTTGTTTTTTGTTTGCATCATTACTTTGCGAGAAAGCATTTATGGTTTGTTAAAGTGCTTAAACCTAATTGGTGGGATGCCACATAAGCCAAAAAGTTAGAAAAATCAAATTTTAACCAACTCACTGGGTTAAAGTTCTTTTTTTTTTTGCAGAAAATCATTAGAACTTTTCGTCTTTTTGATTATGGGTAAAAACCAAGGTTATAAAAATCGTTCGGCTGTAGTTAGGCTGGGTCAAACGATTAATCGGTTTGGTTGGCGGGGATTAATCGGAGACCCTAAACTGCTAATAAAACTATTTTAAAACTTAATATATCCTAAGAAAATTAGTATTTGAAAATTTAAAATATTTGTTATAATATTTGAAATTTTGAATATTTAATAATTTAAAATTTTGAAATTTTGTAAATATTGGTGTAATATTTGAAAATTTGAAAATTTGAATTTTTTAAATATTCCCGCCTACGACCGCCGATAACTGTTAGCCCGAGTTTGACCGATATCGACCAATTTCCGCCAAACACCCCTAATCCTAGGCCGATATTTACAACACTGGTAAAAACTAAAGTATATTACCTAGACCGGTAAGAAAAGGAAAATAAAATTGTATTTCACCCACTTTTCCGAGCAAAGTACAACACAACTTCAATTTGTTACACCGTTTATTCACATATGTAATAAAAAAGAGTTTTAACATAAATCTGATACACGGTTTATTCACATGTGAATAAAACGTATGACTTGATTTTATGTAAAAAAAATATATATTTATATAAAAAAAACATATATCAATATGAATGTTAATTAACAAAGAATAAAACATTACACATTTTGACATATTCCTATTTTTTTTTTTCAATAACATAGCATTCAAAAAAAGGATGGCTAACATTCATCCTGCATTCTCAACCTTCTTTTATTCCTCTATGTGTGTGAAGCCAAGAAAATTCTTGGCATGGTGATTTTAGAAATCAATCAACTGGAAATTTATACCCGAGTCAAAGTAGCTACATCAATAAAGTCTTACATTGGTTCAATATACAAAATGTCAAGCTAGTGAGTACTCCACTATCTGGCCATTTATTTATTATCATCCAACCTCTCTACTCAAAGCACCGAAGAAATCGATGGCATGGCCAATGATCCTTACTCCAGTATCATCATTTGCTAGATCACTGATGTATATCATGGTTTGCTATTATCCTGACTTATCTCAAACTTTGAGTGTAGCAACTCGATTTATGGCAAACACCGAAAAGGAATTCAATGGATCTTTAGATACATGTGTGGTAATTCTACTACTTGCTTGTAGTTTAGGAAATCGACAAAGGGGTTATGTGGTTTTGTCGGTTCAAATTATCTAGGTGACTTACACAAAAGAAGATATGGTTCATATTATGTAGGTGACTTACACAAAACATCCTATGAAGATTATGTATTGACCATTTATGATTGTGAAAGCTACCCTACAATCTAGCATGTCTTTCTCAACAATTGAAGTTAAGTATAGGGTTGTTTCAAAAGTGTATAAACAAACCACATGGCTTAGAGTTTTATATTGGTAGATTTGTGGAGATTTATCTTGTACTCCTATTTTCTACAACACTCAAAGTGATATATTCCCTATGAAAGTGATATATCCCTATGAAGAATTCCATGTTCCATGAGGGAATGAACCACATTGACAGTAAACATAACTATATCATAGATGTTATTGCGCAAGACAATATTAAGGTAAGCAAGATAAATACAAATGCCAAGCCCGTTAACATGATGAAAAAGCCGGTTTTGATATAGTTTGAACTTTGTTCTAGCTTAGTTGGTATTTTAGTTTAGACCTTAAGGCTTTTGTGACTACATGTATTTTTTTGATTTCTTATGAAAGTTTAAAGGTTCTTTTGCTAAAGACATAACTCGTCTCAAGGTGGAGCTTGTTGGCGTATGCTCTAAATTCCTGAATTGCAAGGGAAGTTTCTGCTATAAGGCAACACTTATGCTAAAGTCTTGCAGCATGCATGGGAATGTTTTCTTTATAAGACAATGTTTTTGTTTAATGTTGCATTGTGTTTTAGAGTTATTTTAGGAATCTTGTTACAAGGCTATAAATAAGCCCTTTAGACGTTTTAATTCATTCCATCATCTTCCCACTCCATATTTTCACAAGAACGAACAATGTAACCCTCTACTCATTATTGAAATTTTAATATACCAAGTAGTGCATTGTAGCTTTTCCCACAAGGGTTTCCATGCAACTATTTGTCTAGTATTGGTATTTTGATCCTTCTATTGTTCAACATATCATAACAAGTCGATCGTAGTCAACCCCTTCACCCTATGTTGCATCATTTAATCGTTTGGACCAACAAATCTCTATCACTTACAAAATTATATGATAGAATGCCTCATCCTAGGATTTTTGGAACAAGGAGTCATCAAACCTAGCAACATTGGTTTTGCATCATGAGCAATGTTTGTGAAGAAAAAAGTTGTGGATGGAAAGCATTAGATAATACTTTCCCATACCTTTGGTGGAAGAGCTTCTTGTTTAGCTTCATGGTAGAAAACGTTTTCCCAAGATGGACCTTACGTCCGTGTATTATCATATTGATCTAGATACAAAATATCTTTCCAAACCAACTTTAAGGAATCCTCATGGACTTTACAAGTTCCTTATAATGTCTTTTAGGCTTAACAAATAAACCATCAACTTTTCAAGGATTGACGAACCATATACTTAAATCTATTTTGAGGAAATTCATGTTGGTTTTCTCGAATGATATTCTTGTCTACAGCTACAGATAGTACACACATTTAGAACATCTTAAGCTCATTTTAAGCACCTTGGTGCAACATCCACGCATAGCTACATTTAGTAAATTTGCATTTGGTATCCGGAAAATTAAGTTATTTGGGCAATATCCTTTCTCGGGAGGTTATGGTAATAGACCCTAGCCAAAGAGTCCATCTTAGAATGGCCAACTCTTACAGCACATAAAAACAACTTTAGGTTTTTTGGGGGCTATATAGCCGGATGCTCACCACTATCGACCAACCATTCAAAAATAATCAACTAGAAATTAAGGAATAGTCGAGGAACAAAATTAGCAATTCAATCTAACAATAAACAAAAAAAACTCCACAAGCAGTTGCATTAGATACCTACTTGCAAATTGGGAAAAACAAAGGCTCTGAAAGTATATACTTACTTGCAAATTGGGAAAAACATAGGCTCTGAAAGTTTCCAACTCCATAAATGATGCATCTAAGTTTTTTGACAGACGAGATTTTCTCCATACTCGTAACTCTATAGCAACATATGATATAAGTATCTATCAATATTTGAAGCTTAAACTCATCTAAAGCATCAGCAAAAAGAAGAACTTACCTGTAGAGGGAACGGTATTACCAATTAACATATTTAACCAATCAGGGGTGGTTGACTTGAAGTAATCGCGACGACAAAGATAGTAGGCTCCTGTAGTGAGCTCAAATTCAGATAGATCTCCCCCAATAACTTCTTCCTCTTTCTTGTAATTTTTGTAGTATTCTATCTCTACTTCACCATCATCCATGTACACAAGGCTGGCACTACACCCGCTTACCATCAATCCATTTCCCACAATGATGGACACATTGATTTCATCACCAGCATCTAAAACGTTCCCAATGGGGCCAATAGCTTAACCACACAGCATCTTCTCCAACTCTCGGATTGCAATAGACCACAGGGTTGTACATCCAAGCAAGGTCTTTGGTTGTATTGCTGATTTTGATGAACAAAACCCACATATCTTCATCCTCACCTGATGGTCTGTATATGGCGGTTACATGTAATCCTTGGATCCTGCGTTTCTTAGGACAAGATGGCACACAAAATGATAAGAACGGGGACGATGACATATACACAGGCTTTGTCATGCTTTGATCCTTTACATCTGGCAGATATGTACTCATTATACCATATTCGTATAACACCTAGCCACACAATATGCAGAAAAAATTACTTCACTTATATACTTATTAGTTTGCAGAGGTCATTAGATGTGTTTTTGTGTGCATTTAGAGAGAGAGAGGGAGAGATACCTGGACACGCCAATTTCTGTCTTTAGTGATCTCATCACCCACCAGGTCGACCTCATGATCTTGATATGCTTTGATCCATTTCATATGTCCCAAATCTGCTTCATCAAATTTTGCTATTGGCACCAATTTAAAAAGGCCTTGAATTTCAGAGATTTTGTTACAACCTCGATATACAAATTCCCGCAATCTAAACCGAGCTGATTCAAATGTTATTTTCTCCAGTGAAAAACACCAATTTGTATACAGCTCTTCTAGTGTACTTGGGAGACATAGGAGGCACTTGAGATTTGGACAAAAAGTCAATTCGAGTACCCGAAGCGTTTTAAAATTAATGTTATTGGGCAGGAACTCAAATAGATTATTGCCTAAATTCATGTATAAGAATGGTCGGCCACTAAAACACACTGGAATATAATTGCTTTTCTCAAGGCTGCAGTTATTGAAAAACAAAAAGTTCAACGAGTCTGGTAAGGAAAGCGACTGTTGTAGAATTTCTCCACCAGTATACAAAGCTCTTAGCCTTAGCAGTTGATTTACATACTTATTCGATGAAACCTTCCACAGATTCTTACACCCTGTAAAATCCAGTAGAGCAAGTCTCTCAAGACCTTGGATTGTGTCACAAACATGAGTGAGATTGCTACAGTTCCATAAAATCAAAGTCTCAAGATTAGGAAGTCGGGAAAGATTGTGGATGCTGACAAGTTTTTGAGAATCTTTGAGATTTAGAATCTTCAGCGAATTAAGAACCTATTTCAAGAATAGAAATCTTAATTTATCATCATACATTCACAGAAAAACTGTCCAAAAATGAGAAGCTAAAAGGTCAAGTGATAACCGTTGGTGGTTTAAACTTTTTCAAGTTTCCATAACTCATATCTATAGCCACCAAGCTGCTCATCAATAAACCGGAGGGTATTGTTGTCAAATTACATCCATGCCAGCACAACCATCTTAACTCTGGAAAATTCTCATAGGAACCCGTGAGTTCTACATATTTGAGCTGGAGCAATTTTAGTTTGTCCATCTTTGCAAGCAAACTAGTTTTAAGGGCTAATGACTGCAAATTTAGCATCAAAAATATGCTCCATAAGTATCGCAACTCAAGATATCACATCTGATATTACCCAACCAATTAATCATGAACATCTTCAGACTTACTTAATTATAGCTTGTAATGGGTTTATACTTGTAGCTGGTTTTGTTTCAAGCTCAACATTTTGTTAGCTTCATGAATTAATTCCATTCCAATACAAATTAACAGGCTTATGTCAGAGTTATCACCTCTTTTGATGGGATGAGAATTAAACGAATCACAGAAGGGAATACAATGTAAATTCTAGAGGAACTTATTAGCATTCATCAATGCCATTATTTAAACCTTATTTAAACCTCTGAAAATCGTAACCAAATAGTCCATTAACAAAATATTCAAATGTAAATACTGTCTTTCCATAAAAACTAAACAGAAAAATCACCATCAATTAAATTAAGTTTTGAATCCATAATCCCGGTCAAAGAACCTCCTTGAAACCCATGTAAAGGTAGACCATTCTCTCTCTTAAAACCTTATAACTAACTAGAAGAAAATCAAAGGAACAATATATCTTTAATGACAAAGAAGTGAGGAAAAAAGTAATATCAACTGATTCCTAACAAGATTAAGTATACCACATATTAATTCACTTCTTTTGCTTAAATTGGATCTCGTCCATTGGCTGAGCTTTCGCATGTCAATTGCTAGACCTTCAATTGTTTCTGAACCCTAATGAGGAAAGGCATGACATGAGAAAAGTCTATCTAGCATATATGAGGTTGTGAAAGGGAGAATAAGTTTTTAGATACACATAAGAAGCATCATACCTGTCCTTTTCCCAACAAACGATAAGATTCATTATTTTGAAGGACTCTACTACGTTTTGCAGGGTCTTTAGACTCTTCAAGAACTATCTTTCTTCCCATCTCTCGAAGCAGTTGATGCATCACCAGTTTCTTACTTGATGAGATGGATAGAAGGCATCTGTTAATGAGGGTCATGATCCCAGCTTTTGCATGCCAGTCATGCTCCAATATCTTTACCACATAACCCTCATATTCACCAACAAAGAAAAAAGCAATATGCAAAAACAACTCTCTGTTACTGGCACGTGGTAAGGAATCAAAGCTCTTTTGAAGTATACCTTGGATTTTATCATCAAGATCTCCTCCTAATGAATTCAGTGAATTCAATGTACTTCTCCATATTTCTATTATGCTGCTTCTTTTCCATGGGTCTTCAGCATTAACAAATAGAGAAGAGCCCAGCACTTTAAGAGCTAGTGGGTTTCCACCACAATACTTTGCTATCTGAACAGCAAGCTCCTTGAAACCTTCCATAGGAACTTTGGATCCAAATGCATGAAAACATAGAAGCTCTAATGATTCATGGTCATTTAACAATCCAAGTTTGTGCACTTGGCATCTCCAAGATATGGACCCAAACCATGCATGTATATCTAGAAGTCTAGTCGTTATGATGATCTTGCTTTGTGTATGGAACGCCCTTCTTCCAAGTAAAGCATCTAATTCATCATGTTCATCAATGTCATCAAGAACTATAAGCACCCTTTTCACTTGTAAGGCTTCCTCAAGCTTACGTGTACCCTCAAAAACACTGGATATCCTTTCATTCTTGCCCCCTGAAATGTCTGTGAGAAGTTGTTTTTGTAGCCCAAGCAAACCGTGAGGCTGTTTGTAGTGTTTTCCAATCTCTTCAAGGTAACTGCTGCTTCCAAATTTTTGCTTGTTTGAATTATAAATGAATTGGGCCAGTGTTGTCTTGCCACTGCCTCCCATGCCACAAATTGCTAAGACATTAGCACCAGATTGCTCATTTTTCAACCAGGAGTTGATATCATTAGCTCGAGAGTCCATTCCAATTAGATGAGCTGGAGTACTAACTAGTTTCATATCTAGTTTACAGTCAATTGCATCAACAATTTTTGCAATAAAGTCTGATTCAGACCTGCAACAAATGAAGAAAGAAAATGATAACATTCAGACCATTGCATTTAAACTTCTTAAGAACTTAACTGCATCGGTTATAGTGCATGAATTAAAAATGTTTCAGGAAATTTAATATTCTTCCTTCAACTACTATTAAACCCCCAAAAATGAACAACTGCAGGTGTACATAGTAAGTGTATAGGGATTTAATTGAACACTGAATTGAATAATGAGAAGCCAACCAAATACAACCCAATGAGCAAGTTGCCAAATGGGCAAGTTGTTTCATTAGCGTGGGTTCAAACCCCAAATACCTGCTATGTTATCTTTTGTTTTAGTTACACTTCACTCATTGTTTCAGGTATATATGCAGATGAATGTATGCATGTTTTATAACTGTAGTAAACCATGCATAAATAAGAGGGACAATGGCATAACATCTATAAATATGCAAGTATGTAAACCAAAAGCTATTTCTCCTTTTGAGTGAATATTTGCAAATTCCAGTACTTTATTAAAAAAAGCTAAACCATCATGTCAGATGCATGATCAGTCCAAACACAATATAAATCTATGGACTTGATGTTCTGAAAAGCATACCTGAATTCGATCATATGCTAGGCACAAATTACCGATTCCTTATCAAAGTTAACACTTGCAATTAGCAACCAATTAGCATAATATCCTATTTGTATTAATCAAGAAGAGTTTCCAAAAGAACAAACTATAAGAATGAATAGAGAAACTATTACCCTAATACAACCATGCCGGTCAAATCAGCAACCTCTGAAAGGGCTACCTTCCATCGATTGACATTATACTCTGTCCATTTTGACCCTTCTACTCCGTCTTCTACTTCAATCGCGAAACTTTGTCTTTGGTCCCTGATATCTGAGGGATCGACATGGTAGAAAACCGGTAAAACAAAATGATTGAAGCTCCGCCGTTGCTCAAGCATCAACAAAAGCTCGTCAAGGCACCAGCTGGATGTCGCATATTTCTCCGACAATATAACTATAGAAGCCCTAGATTCTATAATCGCTCTCTCGATTTCTGGCTTGAGTTCGTGACCTCTTTTGATATCATCATTATCCCTAAAAGTGCGGAGTCCTGCTCGTACTAGCGCCGCATAGAGATGATCTGTAAATGAATTGCGAGTATCTTGGCCTCTAAAGCTTAGAAAACGTCATACTGGATGCTATGATCGCTATGATTTAGCAGAGAAGTCGATTATGAAGGAGATGCCATTGAAATTAGTAGATGATCAGTCGTTGTGAAGAAAGGGAATATAAGGCATAGAAAGTCAATGTCTCTGGACAGTTTCAGAAGTGTTAGGTGCCAATCGTCGGTCATCGTCAACCAATTGTTTGTCAACGCCTTTCTTTTTCATGAAGTTTTTAACCAGAGGATAGCAATGTATTGTATTCTAGAATTCATTTACCAAACTCTTGTAGATTAACATTTACCTTTTAAATAACCATTTTGATGGTACCTTTTACACCAAAACACAAACAAGAAACAATGTTCATGTCATGGTCTCCGAATTCATTAAAATAATCTCAGCCGTTTCTCTCTCTAGGCTAGTCTGCTTTCCGTTGGGTTTTCTAGCGATATTTCTCTGTTACGTGCCAGGTGGAATGCTCTTCTCATAGAATTGGTTTCTTTTTGCTGCTATGGTGCCTAAGAATTTAAGAAGGCAATACAAAAAGAATGTAAAATAGTTAGTAAGTAGGGATGGCAAAAAACCCCGTACCCGATGGGGAACCCGAAACCTGCACCCGTTTTGACCGGGGAATCCTCAAGTTGACCGAGGATGGGGACAGGGATGGGGAATCCCCGAATAAAAAAATGGGGATGGGGATGGGGATGGGGATACCCCTAATCCCTGACCCTGGACCCGCCCCCGATATATATTAATATATAAAAAGAATACAAAACATATATTTATATTACAATTTACAATACATAAAATTTGATCCAAGTAACCTAACTCATTAGTAATTACTTGGTTGAAATTATATATTTTTCCTTTTATCTAAGTTAAACTCATGTATATTTTTTGTATTTTGTTTATCTATTTTAACTCAAATATCACTTTGATAAATTTTTCTACTTGATTTTTCATGTATGTATTTAAATTTGAAAGAAAATTTGTTTATATTTTTTATGCAATCTATGGATATTTTTATAATTTGTAAAATCTTTAAGAGCATTAGGTATGGGTCACCTTATAACACCAATTTCATATGCCACCTCAACCATAACACCAAGGGGGAAATGGTGTTCCCCATGTTATAACATGTTAAGAGGTAGAGAGAGAAAGAAAGAAAATGATTTGATTGGTTGATAAAGGCAACAACCAATTAAACTTCATGTTGCATCTTGTCTCCGTCACAACGAGATATGCCATAACACCCTCTTAACAAGAAGGGGGTGGTGCTCATCTTGTTACGACTAGGTGATGAGGTGCTACATCAGCAATAATACCACTTCTCGTTGCCCATACAGTATGGTCTAAACTTATGAAGGTAAAATTGAAATTTAGAGTTTTTCTTTACGTAAAAGTTTTCATATTAAAAGAGAAAAAGAAATTCCCGCTTCCCCGTTGGGGATCCCCAATCCCCATTGGGGGTGGGGATGGGGTTTTTTTTATATTCCCCGACGGGGATGGGGATGGGGATTGGAATGAGGATTCGGGGATGGGGATGGGGATTGGGGTCCCCTGTAATACACGCCCCCGTTGCCATCTCTATTAGTAAGGGGTAAAATTAACATCTAGTGTGACCTAGGAGAATCGGTGGAGCATAGATTGTGACCCCATGGCAATGAAGTTTTGAACAACTAGGCTAAAAAGAGAAACCCACGATGGGTAGTGGAGGAGTGTTGGGCGCTGGAAAAATTCCAAGGAGTGGAGAAGTGGAGTAAGGTATCGCCCAAGGTTACATTATAGGCAAACGGAGACCATTTGAATTATTAAATTGTCCATATTTTCCCTCGTTTACACACTTTTCTTGTTTTCTTAGGTTGGTTGATGCCCACACCAACGTTTTTTATAAAAACAAAGAAACGGGGTGGTGGTGGCAATGGGAAGCAACGGCAGGCGTATAACGCCCAAATTTCTTTTTAATAACAAAGAAACGGCGTTAAACGAAGGTCTTTGGTACACTTGACGAGGGAAGGAGACGAGAGGGTCATGGACCCATTTGATTTATTAATTTCTTTTTTAATAAAAAATTACAATTATTTGGTAAATAATTTACAAACTACAAGCAAATGGTAATTACTTTTTACAACAACAATTACTTGGTTAAAAACTCTCTTTTCATGTTAACAGGAACCAAGAGGTAGTTGAGAAGAACGACTCAAACATGCCCGATAAACAAGGGAGCAGTTTGTGGTTTTGAATTAACTGATATGAAATAGATAATAATAATGAGCAATATGGAGGCAGAACGGTCACATCAAACGTTTGACGTGGCCATCAAGTTTATTTGTTGAGAGCTAAGGTGTACGTAAATCGGTGGAAGCAGAACAAATTCGAATCATTAAAAATAATTCGAACTTATGGGACTTAATTGAGGTATGTCACCTCTGGTGCATTTGGTTCAAACATGTAACATCCCGATGTTAAGGTACTTCTAAATTCATCCTTATAATTTTGTTTATGACATTTTGGTCCCTAAGTCCCAAGAGAAAGTGCCTTGAAGCCGTAGTGGCATTTTCATAATTTTAGCAAGAGAAGTACGCCATGCATACATATGTATACGTTGGGTGTACACTTATGTACGCGGGATGTACTAGCTAAAGAAGGAAACCCTTATTTTTAGGGTTTGGGTGGTATTTAAGCAACATTAAGCCTCATTTCCAGCCTCCATCACCATATTCGTGTTCTCTTGCAAGCCCTAGCCTCATTTGAGCTCTTGGAAAGGTTTAGCATGAGTTTTTGTGTGTTCTAAAGGAAGAAGAAGGTGGTGGTGAAGCTTGAAAGCTTGAAGCAAGCTTGGATCTGGGAGTTTTGCATCCTTCTCCATCATTAGAAGGTATAAAGTTTATACCTTGATGACTTATTTGCTAGATCTCATTCTTGGGTGTTTTTATGTTACTTTTTGTTCCCAAAAGTCTCATCTTGTGCATGGTTTGTTCTTGTCGATTTGAGATGTCCTTTCAGACCCTAGGAGGGGTCCTAAGCCATAAAAATGAGGTCCCATTTGTTAGATTTGCTTCATGTTTCTTTTAGAAGGTCTTAATGGATTAAGACCTTGTGTTAAGCACTTTTTGGACTTGTAAAGTCATAAAGTTGGAAACTTTATGACTCTAGAGTGCATTTGGACCTTAGATCTGAAATATGGACTTAAGTGCTTAAGCCATTAAGCACTTAATGAGTTTGGAGGCTGTGAGGGTACGCCCCGCATACTCAGTCAACCACCCCGATAGATGGTCAACTGCGAGGCTTCGTATACGCCATGCATACCTCCGGACTACGCCCCACGTACTCGCACTGGGTCAACCTTGTTGAGTTGACTCGGCTGGATTGACTCAGTTGACTTAGTGGGTTTGAGCAGTTGACCTTGACCAAGTTTGACATTGAGGGCATTTTGGGATTTTGATGGTATTGGTCACTTGGTGGAAATAGGTATCAGTTAGAGAGCTGAGATTCGGAGCCGGATCATCAGGTCTATTCAGTTTGCGAGGTGAGTTTCCCTCATTGTACTTTTGGGTCGAAGGCACCATGGCCGGCCCTTTTGATTGTTATCATGGTTTATCACATGATTGTATGTTGTAGTGATCTGTTATATTTGTATCTTGGTATATAGGATGATGTTATGCTTAGTGATTTGTTAGATCTGTATGACTGTCTGTATATGCTAGCTAGGGTTTGATATGGTATATGTTGATATGTGATGGTATGTTGGGTTGAGGTGGTCCTACTTTGTGTTGAAGGCCGAGAGACATAGGGCGTCCCGGATAGACTACAGTCCTAAGAGTCGTACCAGTCAGGTCGAAAGCCCAGAGAACGTTTCAGATGGGCTGAAGGCTCGGTGAGGCGTACCAGTCATGCTGAAGGTTATGTGAGCATACCAGATAGACTGTAGGTCGGTGGGGCATTCCAGTCAGACTGAAGGCTTTGTATGCATGTTGTTTATTGTTGTTATTATGATTATGTGTTGTGTTGGTACTTTCGGGGAACTCACTAAGTGTTGGCTTACAGTTTTGGGTTATGTTTCAGGTACTTCAGAGGATCGCGGGAAGGCGAAGGCGTGACCGTACACATCCTCATGTTTTGTACTTATGATTCTGGGAAACTCTGATATAGAACATGTTTTGAAAACTATGTTGTAAACAATTTGTGATTTTGGGTTGGTTTTTAAAAATTTAAAATTTTCATGATTTTTATGGATGTTACAAGTTGGTATCAGAGCCTTGGTTTGAGTGAATTGGAGAAACACTCATGTGAATCCAGTCTCAACCTAAGGAAAAAGATTTTAAAATCGATTTTTAAAGTATTTTTCAAATAATCAAAGTGGATGTGGTGTGTACGATCAGTCGGAGCCAGTAAGTAGACCCCAAATTACCACACTGTTATTTGTTATTGTGATATGTTAGAACATCATGCTAGTAATATGCTAGGGATCTTCAATAATTGCATGATATAGTTGCATGATTACATGATGCCTGATAGCCTAGGATCTTTTTTTGTATGAAATTGACATCATTACTGTAGTTACTTAGTGTATGCGTCGTGGTTATACATAACTAAGATTTTGTAGCCTAAGAATGTTTGGTTTAGCCTTATTTCATGTTCTTATTTGATGAAGGTCTTAGGGTAGGATCAGATATTTGACTGTCTATAGGGTCCAACGTTATGTATGATTAGCATACACGAGTGTTGCAGGGTTGGTGGGAGTTTCATGGATCAGTTGTGTGGGGTTAGTCGGCCAGTTGTGTTATGTTTAGCTTTCCTCTAGGGAGTGAGGATTGAGTGTATGAGTATGCTAGTGTGTATTGTTAGGGATGTTGTGATGATCCTCTGAGACAAATACGGGTAGGTGTCGAAGGTAGTATGGGCCCGTACTACTGAAAGCACAAGACCCGTATGCGTAACAGGGAAGTCACAACCCCTAAGGCTTTTGGGAGTTGGTTCCCCTGATTATATGTTTGTTTTATCTAATATCTCTCTAGTTTATTTTCATTATGGTTATGATGAGACGATTTGAGGCTGGATCGGGATCGGGATCGGGAGCTGATTGTCAAGGTGGGCCACCTGTATCTGAGGACAGGATTAGGGAGATTCCCGTGAAGAGGTTGTGGCTATTGTTCGGGGTCAG